CGTCCCCCATATCCCCCACTCCCTCTATTGTCCCCATCCCCCTATGTCCCCCACTATCCCCTGTCCCTCCATCTCCTTGTCCCCTGTTTCCCTATGTCCCCCACATCCTTTATTGTCCCTCCCATCCATTTATGTCCCCTACCGTACCCCCATCCCCCTCTGTCCCCCACTGTCTGTTTCTGACTAGGGCTGCACCAGCCACACCATCATTCTGTGTCCAAGCCATGGCCTATGTGGGCTCTGCACCTGTGTTTGGGGGGTCCACAGTGGCTTTGCAGATGGCCTCGTGTTTTCACCCACAGCTCGGGGGGAGCCCGCACTGCATGTTGCATGGGGCCAACTGCCGCAGCATGTGCATGACCATGTATAGAGGCTGTGTGCACAGGGTTGGGGCACTGCATGTGCATGGGGGTGCACATGTGTGGGTCTTCATGTGACACACATGTGCTAGTCTGTGTGTGCTCATGTCTTTATGTTGTGTGCCAGGGACTGGGGTAGGCATAGCTCACCCTGCCTGGGGCCAGCAAACAGGTCAGGGGGCACAACACAGCCATTATGACAGACACCCCATGTCCCTGAGTGTCCGTGGGTGTCCCCAGTTCTGGAAGTGGGTGGCCACTTGACACCCAGGTGAGACAGTGGTGACCTGGCCAGTCCTGGTCTCAGTGGCCATCGACAGCATGTCCCCATCTCTATGGCTCTGTCAGCCGGGGGCAGGACTTCCACTCAGAACACAGTGATGCTGCTGTATATGAGGGTCTTTGTTTCACAGAGTGACCTCTGGGATTAGGGATCTCAGATTGCTCAGTAAAGGACCTGGGGGACAATTTGGGGTTTCGGGGCTCAGGTACAAGGGAACTGTTAAAAGCCCTGTGTGGCTCAGAGGGAAATTGAGGCAGTTCCCTCGGATCCAACAAGCACCTTTAGTAATGGATGGACCCCAGTCTCGGGCTCAGCCCCTAATCCACAGGGCTATTCGAGAGCCACGTTTAGCCAGTTGCCAACTGGATAGAATGCTGAAGTAGGAGGATTCCTGTAAGTTCATAGCCAGGGCTTCAGCTCAGTGGGTAAAATGTTTGTAGCACAGCAGATGGAGTGCTTGTAGCTCAGTGGGTAGAGTGCTTGTAGCTCAGTGAGTAGAGTGCTTATAGCTCAGTGGATGCAGTGCTTGTAGCTCAGTGGATGGAGTGTTTATAGCTCAGTGGGCAGAGCTTGCCTTGTACATACAAGGTCCTGATTTTCATCCCACATACCACATAAACCAGGTGTGATGACACACGCCTGTCATGTCAACAATCAGGAGGTGGAGGCAGGAGGATCAGGCATTTAGGGTTAGCCTCAGCTATGTAGTGAGCTGTCTGACGTGGCCTGGCCTCCTGTGTTGCTTTCTGGAATTTTTCCCGTTGTGGTGGGCAAACATGGCCATGGCTGGGGCTTCAGGACCCCATTGGCTTTTCACCAGCCTGCCTAGGCTCCAGCAGAGAAGTTGGCACAAGACTGCCCTAGGAATAGATGCTGGAAATGATTTCCAAGTCAGTCATTAACCCCTTAGTAAGAATGTATCCCTGTTGACCTCTCTGCATCCTCAGGTGAAGGTAAAGATTTAGGCCTTGTCTTGCTTCCACAGGGCTAAGTTGCGGGGGGGGGGCTCCCCAGCACCTTTGCAGGCACTACCCCAGAGCAAAGGTAAGGCTCCCGCCCTGCTCACCAGCCAGCGTGGAAGCTGGAATGCCTACACAGCAAAGGCAGTGCTATTTTAGAGCCAGAAAAATAAATGGCTGCTTTACCTGGCACTCAATGGGGTGGGGAGGAGGTCCCCCAGGGTTCTCCATCCCCACCCACTCAGAAACTGTTTCCTGCTGTCCCCAAAGTCCTCCAACCCTTGGCTTCTATAATTAACTCCTTTCAACATGCAGGGCCTGGGACAGAGGGAAAGAACATTCCAGGCACTTGCAAAGGTCCTAGGGTGGGGTCAGGTCGAGTGCCAGTTGGTCACCCAGGATGTGGAGATGTTGTGGGTCCAGATCTATGGATTCCGGGATGCCTCGAGGGTGACTGTCCAGGATGACACTGTGGGTAAAGCACTTCCCTCTGAGCATGAGGGCCTGAGTTCAAGTCTCCCCACACCCACATGGAAAAAGCCAGATGTGGTAGTGCATGCCTGTAACCCCAACACTGGGAAGGCCCTTTGTCAAATGCTATATCGGCATGTTGGTGAGACCCTGTCACAGAATTTTTAAGGTGGAGATTGGTGTCTTGCCTCCACACATGCCCGAAGAGGAAGGGAAAAGAATCCAGAGCAATTGAAACTTCTGCTGCACCCTGAGTCCAGAAGGCCCACTGGGATGGGTCACAGTCCCCTGGGAGCCTGACCCTGGGGTGCGCTGCCCTTGTACACACAATCCTGTGAACACACAGGCCTCCACACCCCCATGTGAAGGGAAACTGAGGCTCCAAGATTCTGAGCCCAGCAGTACACAGCTTGAGGCCCCAGTAGGGCATCTTGTTGGTGTCTGTTGGCCACAGGATGAGTTGAGGTCCCTGTCAGTCATGGGGTGCAGTCAACACCCATTACCAATGAGCCTGCAAGGAGCCAGAGCTGTTTTTTTTTTTTTTTTTTTGAGACAGGGTCTCACTATGTAGCACAAGCTGGCCTGGAACTTGCTATGTAGACCAAGCTGGCCTCAAACTCACAGAGACCCACCTGCATCTGCCTCCCAATTGCTGGAGTGACAGGCGTGTACCATAATGCCTGGCCCAGCTTTTGTTTTTTTGAGACAGAGTCCCATGTAGTGAAGCTGGCCTTGAACTTGCTATGTTGCCCAGGATGACCCTGAATCCTGGGATGCATAGCCTTGCCAGAACTAGCTTCTGGGGCAGTGCCAGTCCTGCACCTGGCACAGTCCCTTCTCTTGCCACCAAGCTGGCCAGGCCTCAGTTTCCCTGGCTATACCTGGAGACAGAGGAACCTCAGGCTGTCCACCCCACCCCCCAATCCCTGGCTATAGGCTTTTATATGCTAAGAAAGTTCTCTCAGGGTCCCCCTCTGCTCCCCTCGGCCTGCCTTATGATGGACCCAGGGGACAGCTGGGGCGATCTGATGCTTCCCAGCGCTGTAGCCTGAGGCAGAGACTGAACGGAGCCACCATTTCAACCTGGCAGGCGACCTCTGTCCTCAAAGACTATGCTGGGTCAGGCCAGCCCCCCAGAGGACAGCTGGGAGACAATGGGGTGACCTGGGGGCAGGACTTCGAAGGGGTGGCAATGGCCGCAAGCTGGTGGATCCACAGGAGCCAGGGAGGTTTGACAAAGGGCCGAGTTTCCAGGCTGGAGAAAGAGGCAGGGTGGTGCATACACAGGAGAGGTGGATGTGGAGGGTCAGGACTTGAAGGTCAGCCTGGGTTACATGACAACCTGTTTCAAAAAACAAAAAGAAAGAACCAAGGGTCTGGGGCTCAGTGTGTAAAGTGCTTGTAGAGTGATTGTAGCTCAGTGGGCAGAGCACTTGTAGCTCAATGGGTAGAGTGCTTATAGCTCAGTAGGCAGAGTGCCTATAACTCAGTGGGTAGAGTGCTTGTAGCTTAGTGCGTAGAGTGCTTATAACTCAGTGGGTGGAGTGTTTGTGGCTCAGTAGGCAGAGTACCTGTAACTCAATGGGTAGAGTGCTCACCTAGCAGGCACAAAGCCCTGGGTTAATCCTCAGCACCACATAAACCAGTCATTGTGGCACACACCTGTCATCCTAGCACTTAGGAGGTGGAGGCAGGAGAATCAGAAGTTCAGGGTCATCCTCAGCTACATATGAGTTTGAGGCCAGCCTGGGCTATGTGAAACCCTGTTTTTTAAAAATTTTATTATTTTTACTTTATGTGTATGCATGTATTGCCTTCATGTAAGTAAGTGCACCCGTGTTGTGCAATGCCTGCAGAGGACAGAGAGGCTGTTGGAATCCCTGGAACTGGAGTTAAGGACAGTTGCTAGCTGCCATGTGGGTGGTGGGATTTGAATCCTGGTCTTCTGCAAGAACGTCCAGTGTTCTTAACCGCTGAGCCATCTCTTCAGCCCCATGAGACCCTGTCTTAAAAATTGCAGAGAGGTGGCGCATACCTTTAATCCCAGCACTTGGGAGGCAGAGGCAGGCTGAGTTCAAGGCCAGCCTGGTCTACATAGTGAGTTCCAGGACAGCTGGGGCCATAGGGAGACCCTGTCTCAAAAAGACCAAAAAAAAAAAAAAAATTGCAGAGAAAGGGGAAGAACCTCACTGCAGTAACACTGTATGGAAGGTTGGATTGATTGCTGGTCCTCCCTCCCATGTTTGCAACCCATGGGATCGCATCTCTCTGAGCCCTGCGCCCTTGCAAGGAAACTAAGGCTGGAGCTGGGGACAGTGAGGCTGGGTCTAGTGGGGCTACGGTACCAGGCCAGGCTGTGTGGACACTGACCACTCCTCCCTGTAGGTTCCATGTGGGCACAGCAGGCGATGGTGGTGGCTACACGGTGGAGGTGAGCATCAACGACTACCTGGACATCTACTGCCCACACTATGGGGCTCCGCTACCGCCAGTGGAACGCATGGAACATTACATCCTGTACATGGTGAATGGCGAAGGCCACGCATCCTGTGATTACCGGCAACGGGGCTTCAAGCGATGGGAGTGTAACCGGCCCGCAGCACCTGGGGGGCCCCTCAAGTTCTCTGAGAAATTCCAGCTCTTCACCCCTTTCTCCCTCGGCTTCGAGTTCCGCCCCGGTCACGAGTATTACTATATCTGTGAGTAGCCCAGGCTAGCCCATTTTAAAATGGGAAAACTGAGGCTCAGAGAGGGACTGAGGCAGAGTCAATCCCCCCAAACTAGAGAGATGATGGGATCCCCGTTTCTGCGTGTCTCAGTGTGGTGGGGAGCAGCGGGAAGTAGTGTCTTAAAGTTCCCTAGGGCTACAGGGGTTTGGGTACTCTCACCCTACTTTCCCCACAAAAGCCCATTTCTTTCTTTGAACTATTTGGATATTTTTCTTTTTTTTTTTTTTTTTTCTCTTCTAACTCAAGGAAGAAGTAAGGGAGGGAGGGACAGAAGGTGTTTAAAAATGTAATCCCAGAATATAAGGAAATGACATTTTCTAAAGATACTGTAAGAGCTCCTTCCATTTCTGTGACTAATACTGTTTTATTTCCTGCTTTTTCATCTTTGTGTCCATGGCGTGGGGTGGGGGTAAGGATGGTTCATGGCTCAGTTCACAGTTCCCACAGCAAGGACACCCCAGCCCCTCACAGGAGTCCAAGAGCCCAGCATCTCATGTAGCTGACGCTGGCCTGGAACTTCTTATGTAGCCATGGATGACCCTGAACTGCACCACCTCCTCACCGGGCCTTGTGTGTGCTGGGATGATGTCCTACCCTGGGGTCCGACTCGATGGACCAAGATACAGCTAGTCTCTGCCCCTGGAGTCAGGGTTGATCCTGGTAGGGGACGGGAGCATAGAGCTTTGTGTCTGGGGTTTTGAGGCAGAATTAGGAGTTTTAAGGGTTTGGGACAGGAGCGCACAGCCCCAGGAGATCTCCTCTCTTCCCAGCTGCCACCCCGCCAAACCCCGTGGACCAGCCCTGCCTGCGGCTGAAGGTTTATGTGCGGCCGACCAGTAAGTGTTTTGTTGTTGTTGTTGTTCTTGTTCTTGTTCTTGTTGTTCTTGTTGTTTTCAGACAGGGTCTCCCCATAGCCCAGACTGTCCTAGAACTGTTGTAGCCAAGACTGGCCTCGATCTCACAGAGATACACCTGTTTATGCCTCCTGAGTGCTGGAATCATAGGCCTGTCCCACCGCGCTCAGCCAGTGAGTGTTTTCAGGGGGCATGGGCAGGCCCCGGGGACCCCGGCCGAAAGCCCTGTCCCCTTCCTATGTCCCCACAGATGAATCAATGTACGAAGCCCCAGAGCCCATCTTCACCAGTAACAGCTCCTGCAGCTGCCTGCGAGGCTGCCGCCTGCTCCTTACCACCGTTCCAGTGCTGTGGACCCTCCTGGGCTCCTAGCTTGGACAGAAGGACACCAGGCTTGCCCGGATCCCACTGTCCAGCCCTCTGACCTGCCACGGCCACCTCTGAGAGGAAATGTTGCTGCTTTTGTTTATGGTGCTGTCCCACTGGAGGAGCTGTTCACCTAGAGCTTGGGAGGGGACACCAGGCCCCCCAACCCATGCCTGAGGGGGAAACTGAGGTATCTTCAAAGCCCTATGCAGAGCCACTTTCTTTGTGGCCACCAGGGAACTCAAGACCTTCTGAGCTTTTATTTTTTGATTGGATCAGAAAGACTTTTTAAATTTTAATTTATTCCCTGATGTCGATGGTGATTTTGGGATTGGGAATGAACTGGTGGGAGGGGGTGGGAGGTCCCTGAAGGATGGAGATTTGGGCTTACTGGCTTAGGCTCCTCATGCCTGGTGAGTCTGAGCTGGGCTGAAAGGGTGCCTGGCAACCGACCCTGCATTGGGGTCCTTTGCCCAGCCTCTGTGGAACCCCACTTCCCCTAGTGTCTCAGAAACCCCTTCAACCCTGCTGGCCATCTGGCCCCTTCCACCAGGCACAGCTATGTCCTGGGCTGGGAATCCTTTATATTTCTGTAAATAGAACCAGCAAGTATATACTGTGACTTATTTTTAATGTATTCTTAAATACAGACTGGAAATTTTTTCTTTAAAATTTTCTTTCCCATCCATTCGTTGGGAGGAGCCTTTTATTTTGGTGGGAGGCAGTGGGATGGACTTTTTAGGATAGAAACAACACTTCGCAATAAACTGGGTTTTGTTTTTTTTTTTTTCCTGTCTGTCGGAGCCCCTCCATCATGTGACCTAGTAATGTTTCTAAAAAAAAAAAACTATGAAAAAAGGAAAAAGAAGATGAACAGAAAAGGACGGGAGCTACTACCAAAAATGAGAAGGAAGAAAAATGAAGCTAACACCACGTTTATATGGATTTCGTATTTCCACCCACCCACCTTTCCTGTTTTATATATATTCTATATAAATATATATTGTGGATGGCCTTGGTGGCAAGGGGTGGCCGGGGCTTTTGTAGTGGTGGGAGGGTGCTCAGCCAGGCCCTCCTCCCCTCATCGCAATCAGCTTTGAAGTCTGTATTTTTTATAATAAAATGGAATAAAACTGCAAGGACTGCTCCTGAAATGGTGCCTTGGGTGTCGCCAATAGGTGCTTCAGGATCTGCACAGGGTTGGGGGGCTCTGGGGAGGTGTCAGTCCCCAGGATTTCCTTCTGATATTGGGCTGCTGCAGGGTTGTAGTGGTTTCTGGGGCTGGCTTTTCTGACAACAGTGGGTCATGGTGTGTATCACCCCAGCACTTAGGAGGTGGAGGCAGGAGGATGAGTTTAGGGTCATCCTTGGCTACATAGTGAGTTTCAGGCCAGCCTGACCTATGTGAGACTCTGTCTAAATAAATAAACAACTCTGGGATTCCCCTTTTGCCAAGCTATAGGTCTGTGACTCAATTTCCTCTTCTGCTCCAAGCATGGACTTTACTTTCTGTGTTTTGAGAGACAAGCCTGGAGTTCCCGAGCCGACTTCCAGATTGAGGGAACTGAATGAAAAACAGGGTGGACAGGAGACCCTCACAGAGGGCCTAGGGTCCTGGTGACCACACTCTCGCCTGCATCCTACCCCCAGTGACTACAGCAACTCAGACACAATTAACTGAGAGGCAACACTCTGAGTCCATTAATTCAGCCTCACAGGGCCCTGTAACGGGGGCTGCTTCCTAATGAGGCCGATGCAAGCTGTACAAAGGACCTTGTGTGGGGCCCTGGTCCTGACCAGGCCAGCATGGCCGAGGCTGTCAGGAGGCCCCACTTGACCGAGGAAGAGCCTAAGCATCAGAGAGGCCCCCAGGACCCCAGCCTGAAATCTTAATCCGGCTGCCCTGACCAACAGGGAGAGAAACCCCAGGACCCTGTCTGCTGCTGTTGGAGGTCATTAAAGCTGCAACAGCAGCAGGTCATGTGGGGGTAAGCCTGTCATCCCAGCACTTGGGAGGTTGAATCAGGAGGGTCAGGAGTTCAGGGTCAGACTCAGCTAAATAATGAGTTTAAGGTTAGCTTGGGCTACATGAAACTGTCTCAAAAAAAATTGCCCGGCTCCAGGGCCTTTGCACATGGTGGGCAGTCTACCCTCATCACCCCTCTGTTCACAACTGGGTCAAGTCTCATGCTGCTTCTAGATCTTTCTGGCCCTGTGGCTGCTCTTGGTGAGATCCTGGCTGGCTTTCTTTGCTCTCCTGATCTGGGTGGTTATGTGACATCTCCTCATGCCAGGTCCAGCCTGGGCAGCTGTGTCTCAGGCCGCCATTCTCAGGGATTTGTGGATACCCTTCTGGGCTTCGATGTCCCTCCAAGTGGCAGCTGGTGACCTGCCTGTCCCCACCTGGTACAGCTCTCCCTGAGGGTGGCCATTGGTATGCTGGTCCCCGTCTGAGCGTCTCCCCCAGCCTGCAAGGGAAGCAAGCTCTCTTCCGCAGCCCTTTACTGCTGCCTCGGTGGCCACACAGGCGGGGGTGGTGGTGGTGGTGTGGGGAACAGCGAGACTCCTGGCCCTTGGGAAACAACATCAGCAGTTGTGGGTGTGGGTGTGAGGGGCTGTAGGTCCCCACAGCACTCCCGTGAACAGGCACATAAGGTAGGGTTCACCTCCTCCCAGACCCCTCCAAGACCAAGTGGAGAACCACACCCTTTTTCTTTTTAATTTTCTGAGACAGGGTCTTATACAGCCCAGGCTAACCTTGCATTTGCTGCATAACCAAGGATGGCCCTGAACCCCTAATCCTCCTGCCTCTGTCTCCTGAATGCTGGGATGGCAGATGTGTATTATCATGCCTGGTTTATGTTGGTCTGGGGATGACCCCAGGACTTTGTGTGTGCTAAGCAAGCTCTGTACCAACTGAGCTACAAGCACTCTGCCCACTGAGCTACAAGCACTCAACCCACCAAACTATAAGCACTCTATCAACTGAACCCCAGCCCTGTTTTCTTTTCTCTTTGACTGATTTATTTTTATATTCTGCAGCTAATTCTCACTTTCACTACCCTCATTTATTTTTTATTTTCTTTTCAGCTTCTGAGTGCTGGGATCTGGGTCTGTCTTACTCTCTGTTGGCTTCCATTGCCTATAACGTGCCTGGTACAGTCAGGGCTCAATAAATGCCCACTGACTGATTGACTGAATGGATGTTGTAGGCAAAGGTACAGGTTAAGACAAAACAAAACAGAAGTCAAGGCTGGAGAGTTGGCTCAGCTGTTAAAAGCAGTGGCTGCTCTTGCAGAGAACTTGGGTTCGATTCCCAGCAACCAGGCTAACAACCGTAACTCCAGTTCCAGGGTATCTGATATCCTCTTCTGACCTCCTAGGGCATTGCACGACACGGGTGCACTCATATACATGCAGGCAATACACTCATACACATAAAATAAAAATAATAAAAATATTTTTAAAAAAATTAAAAAATTAGGCATGGTGGCATACGCCTTTAATCCCAGCACTCAGGAGGCAGAGGCAGGTGGATCTCTGAGAGTTCAAGGCCAGCCTGGTCTACATAATGAGTTTCAGGACAGCTGGGGCTACAGGGAGACCCTGTCTCAAAAAGACAAAAAAAAATCACCTGTCTGCCAATCTTGAGAAGGCTGAGGCAGGAGGATTGCCAGTTTGAGGTTAGCCTTGACTGATTACCAAGAGCCCAACTAAAAAACCCACTTTACAGCGAAAATTTTAAAGCGTAAATAAGGGGTTGGGGATTTAGCTCAGTGCCTAGCAAGCGCAAGGCCCTGGGTTCGGTCCTCAGCTCTGGAAAGGAAAAAAAAAGTAAATAAAAAACTATGTCTCATGTGAAGGTCCCCTCCCTGTGTACTCAGTGAGCGCCTGCTTTTTTGCAGATAGCTCAGGGCCTCCTCCCTCTTGTAGCTCACCCTCTTGTTCCCCATATCTGTGGACCTTTTGGGGCCCTGGGACAGGGCTGGGACATCCAGGTCACTGACCCAGGCCTCAGGAGGTCAGGGGAACCACTGAGCTCACAGCCTAGAGCCACTAGGGAGCCGTCAGTCACCAAAGTCTGACAGCAAGATGAATATCAATCCGACACAGTCGGCTGCGTGGCTGTGGGGTCTCCAGCCCCTCTGGGACTCAGTTTCCCTTCAGAGGATGCTGGTCTCAGCTAGCTTAGCAACAATCGCTGAGACTGCAGATGGGCCTAGCCTGGTAGGCATGGAGTCTTGGCAGGTGCAGGACTGGAAGGAGTGGCTTGATAGGGGTGGAACCTTGTTCAGATGCTGGGATGGCGTGGGAGAGGCGTGGCCTGGGAGGGGCGGACCCCGGGCAGGGACAGGGTGGGTGGGTGTTGGCTGAGTCAGAGGAGGACCCTGGGGTCCATCATGGGGTCAGAGGCCTCTAGGCCCCCTGCACGTGGAGCGAAGCTGCACCCAGCCCTGGATAGATAGGGTACTGGGGGTCCCCACGCAGGCCCCTCCCAGGAGGCCTCAGGCGGACACTTCTGTTCGGGGGTCCTTATTGAGGCTGGGGATGGGGAGGGATATCAGGCCTGGGGACCAGGCGTCCCGGAAAGGCTCGTGCGGACCTGGGACCTCTCAGGTGGGACAGTGTCAGAAATTCGGCCAAGGGCTCCCCACCTCCACCCCACACCGACAGAGGGTGGAGCCCCACCGTGTCCCCAGGGACTGCACACCCTGCAGACCCAGGCTGCCCATTGATCCGGAGATGGAGGCCCAGAAGCTGGGAGAGAAGGTTCGATCAGCTCGACAGCGAGGCAGGGGGCTGGGCAGAGAGACGCCCCAGGCCTGTGGACAGAGGGAAACTGAGGCTCAGCCTGGGCCCCACAAGTCACCGGGAAGGACTCCGGATTGGGAGCCGAGCAGAGCGGTCTCTGGGTGGGTGAGGCTGGGGGCCTTCATCCTGGGGTGAGGCTGGGACACAGACTCGGGGTCCCGTTCCCTGAGTGCTGACTCCATCTGTGGACTTGGGGGGTTGAACCCCATCTGTGGATATAAGGGTTGACCCCATCTGTAAATTTGGGAAGGTGACCCTCACCTGTGGAGATGGGGCACTGATTCCATCTATGGATTGGGGGGCTGACCTCCATTTGTGGATATGGGGATTCACACCCTGACTACAGCCTCATGCACCTCCAGCCTGTGGTTCTGAGGGAGCTGGGTGCTGTGCAGAGGCTGGGTGCTGGGGGAGGATGGAGGAGCGTGCCCCTCCTAGACTTCAAACAGGCACCAAGCCCGAGATGCGGGGCCGGAGGATGTCCCCGCTGCCCCAGGCCCCGCCCACGGCCCCGCCCACGCCAGGAACCCGCCCTCCATCAGCGGCCTCGCCTATCGTTGGGACCCGCCCGTTTCCCAGGCCCTCCCACTTCAGGCTCTACCCACTCCTGCTCCCTTTCCCTCTGCTGGCTCCTCTATAGGGTCTCCCTGTAGTCCCAGCTGGCCTGGAACTCGCTATGTAGACCAGGCTGGCCTCAATCTCACAGAGGTCCGCCTGCCTCTGCCTCCCTGCTCAGCTCGGCCTCTTCTCCGTTGCTGGGCCTCAGTTTACCCATCTGCACCACAGACTAAACCTGTCTTACAGTTCACAGGAAGGAAGACCCAGCCCCTTCCTTGTGTGTTCCATGGGTGCTGGGATGACAACCAGCGGGCGCTCCAACCTGGCCTGGTTCCCAGATGCCCAGAACAGACCTGGTAGGCACGCATATCTCCCCTACTTCCTGTGGGCTCCTCTTTTGCACCCCTTTTGTGGTCAGCCACCCTCCTTGAATGTTTGTTGAGTGACTAAAAGAGCATATTGTGGGTGGACCCGGAG